TGGGATTTATTAGAGTGTTTTCCTTCACCCCCCAAAATCTCCCCCACAACCCAGGTGGGTTGGGGGAATTCTGAGAGTTGAAGTCCACACATCTTAAAGTTCCCAAGGTTGAGAAACACTGGGTTACAGTATGGGTCCTCTCCCTGCCCATTTCCAAAGTTTCTTCTAACTTCCCAATTACCTCCCTATCTCATTTTTTAGCTCCCCTGCCCACATTTCTTCCTTGGTTCACGAGTGTGGTTGCACTTTTTCCCTTTCACTCTTTTTTTCCCCAGAATCTGTGGAGGAAGCCAGAGCACAAGAACCTTGGGTATCCTTGGGGCTGTCGCCTCCGACAGGGTAAAGGATGGGACTTGGAGACTTCTCTTGACGTTCCCCGTTGGGCTGTGGGTGAATCCGCGTATGCAGGCCCAGGGAGGGCCCAAAGGGAGGGGCAGGGCGTTGGAGAACAGGCAGAGAGAATGATTTGAAACTCGGAAGACTCGATCAAAGAGGCTTGAAAGGAGAAGGAGGAATCCCCCTGTGAGTTTATTTGTTTATTTATTGGATTTCTCTCCCGCCCATCTCCCCTACAATAGGGGACTCTGCACACACTCTTCCCGGTTTGGTTAGCGATCAAACCCTTGCAGCGGGCTTGTTGGATTTCAGAAGCCTATCCAGAAGCTATACTAAGGAATTTAAACTGTCTCTGGGAACTACTTACTTTTTTTTTTTTTTTTTGGGCTTGCCTAGCATGACTTTTTGAATTTATTTATTTATTTATTCGGTTTATATAGCCGCCCCTCTCAGACCAGTGACTCTGGGCGGCTAACAACAATAAAAACAGCCAACGTGAAAAACAGTACAGAAAATTAAACACGATATAAATGCAGCCAAGAGATCTTAAAAAAATGTCGGTATCAACACAACCATGAACCTTCACACCCTCGGGGCCCCAGGCCCAGGCACAAAGCCAGGTCTTCAAGGCCTTCCGAAAAGCCAGAAGGGTCGGGGCCATCCTAATCTCAGGAGGGAGGATGTTCCAGAGGGCAGGCGCCACAGCAGGAAAGGCATATCTCCTGGGTCCTGCCAGCCGACATTTTTTATTTATTTTATTTTATT